TATTGATTCCTCTGCGAAAATTGGGGAAGTTGGTTCGAGCAAACAACCATGAATTGATCGTTCAATCTTCAACTCCATTGACATAAGGCATGATGCTTTTCTTGATAATTCTTTCCAGTGTCTTGATTAAAGTGCTGGTGAGACTGATAGAACTATAATTTGAAGGGCTTTGTCTTGATCCTCCCTTGTGCATAAGGGTTACCATGGCGTCTTTGCAATCACGCGGCAACACTCCATTTAGGAGAGATAGCTTGAAGATCGTGGTTAAGGGGCCGGCTATGTGGGCTGATAGCTTCTTGAGAAGCCTTGGATGAAGATTGTAAGGACCCATTCATTTCCCTGCATATCTCTGTCTGTTTTCGACATAGAACTTTGCACAAATGTGCGGAAGTTCAAGTCGCCACATTCCGTGTAGCACGCGAAGCAAGAGAAGAAAGTACAAGAAAAGCATAATAAAAACAGTGAGCAGAAGTGTGAGACAAAGGAGGAGTAATAACGAAGAACAAAACAGTTTCATTGGAGATCATAAGTCACAAGAAATGGATGCATCTGCGCCACTGAGAACGGTTTTGAGCCGTGTCACCAATTGTTTCCAACCATAGATTTTTAACGTCCCGAGGACCCCAACCAGTCAGGAAGTCTACACCTTCCTACGTGGCTAAGACCAACTGTTGTGGATTTCATTGACTGATGCCAAGTTTTTGTTTGACCGCCGCTAGCTTTTTTCCAGTCTGACCCTATATCCGCTAACATTGCTCGTCGAGGGAGGCGATGGCTTGGCATACGTAACACATGTGCTAAACATCTCAGTCTTTGTAGCTTCACGACTTCGTCGATTGATTTCCTCTGTTTACCTAGAACTCTACGCCTAACCTCAATGTTGCTCACCTTATTATGCCACTTCACACGGGAAATAGAACGCAGGCACCTATGATCAAAGGCAGCTAGTCTTTTCATGTCTTCCACTCTGAGTGGCCAGGTCTCGCTCACAACCATAAAGGAGGACGGAGCGGACTGATGAGCATTACACCCGCCCTTTGGTCGATAGTCGAACATCTCGTCTACGCCAGAGTCATCGTAAACTGGCAAATACGGAACGAGCCCCTTGTATTCGTGCTGAGATTTCATCAGAGATCAGTCCGTTGGAGCTGATGGTACTTCCCAAATAAGTGAAGCGGTCAACGTGCTCTACCACTTCACTTCCTATTTTTAAACTAGGCGTCGATGTAGTCCAGTCCTGTAACATCATCTTGCATTTGGCGGGAGCGAATCGCATGCCAAACATTCGTAGATTGCGGCTCAAGGTGTTTAGAAGACTCTGCATTTTGTCAGCGTCTTCGCCTAGAAGGATTATATCGTCTGCATATTCCAAGTCAACGAGATTATTCCCCGGTAGCAAGTCAATCCCTGAGTCGCTGAAGTCACCTAGGGTTAAGTCCATTAACACATCTATGATGAAGTTGAATAGAAAAGGGGATAATGGGCATCCTTGACGGACACCACTAGTCGTAACCAGTTTAGATGACAGCTCGCCGTAAGCCCTCACCTGGCTGTATGAGTACGAGTAGAGTGCCTTAATCAGTGCAATATATTTTCTTGGAATTCCCTTTACAGCCAAGCATCTCCAGAGAACTTCCCAATCGACAGAGTCGAATGCTGCCTTTAGGTCAAGAAATATAATGACTGTTGGACGCCGGTAGGAATGCCTATGTTCTAGAATCTGTTGGAGGGTGAAGATATGATCAATACACCCTCTTCCTGGTCTAAAGCCTGCCTGGCTCTCTCGTGTTTGTGCTTCCCGAGCACCACTCAGTCTACGAATGATTATTGAGCCTAAGACTTTAGATACTAATTTAGTCAAGCTAATCTGTAGTAGTTTCATTAGGCGGTTGAGCACGATGCCTTGGTCGACGTCAACGGAATCTATCCCATGTTCTTCTGATGCAGCCAGAGCTGATCCCGTAGGCAGTGATGACTCCTGAGTGAATACTTGGGAGAAAAAGTTTGCAATTTCTTCTGCTTTTTCTTGATCTTCTTCGATTGTATCTTTGTCAATAATCAGGTTTGGGACAGCATTGGATGTTTTATTCCTGAAATTCAAGTAGGAGAAAATTCTCTTAGGTTATGTCTTTGCATTTTGAGCCAGGTATGTCTCGAACTTCATCCTTGATTGGCGGATTTCTGCGATAGCTTTATTTCTAGCAGTATTATATGATTCTCTGGTCTCAGAAGTCTCAAGTGTAGCAAACAGGTTCCAACATTTGCGTTTACGTCTGAGTAACTTACGAATCTCCCGGTTTATCCAGGGGGGAATGTTTCCGACCCTTTGGAACAGACCAAGGGATGAAAGGTACAGTTACTTGGGCGTAAAGTTGCTTAAATTGGTTCCATGCGGCTTCTACTTGGGACTCTGGGTTGATGTACCAGTTTACTGAGTTGGCTGCTGAGACGATCGCATTTATATCAGCTTTCCAAACGTTTGGTCGAGCTGGGGTTTTGGCCCTTGCTGCCGTTGCTGTGAACTTGAAAGTGAGCACAGCATGGTCACTTCTTCCTAACGGAGGAAGATGTTGTATGAGATCCACATCCTCACCGTGGGAGAACACTAGGTCCAGAGTTGAGGAGGAGTGCTGTGAGTCATAGCGCGTGGGCTTAATGATATGTTGGACTAGGGCTAGCGATATAATGCATTCTAGCAGTTTATGATCAAAGGAGTTGACTGAAGATGGAGTTGTTAGGCTCGACCAGTCAACTGTTGGGGCGTTGAAGTCGCCGACTACGAGACTTCGACATTTTGAAGTCCAGGAGCCTAGCTTCTCTATTAGGAAGTCGTCTGCACTGCAGTCAGGACTGCGGTATACAGCAATGAGGTCAATGTCTTGGCCTATGCATTTAAGTCTGCAGCGTAGAAGTTCGCACGATTCACTTTCGTGGGCAAGTGCTTCGATACTACGCACGGTTAAGCCTTTCTTGAGGTAGATGACTACGCCACCTCCTTTGCGGTTTAGTCGGTCTACCCTGTGCACTTCGAAGTTTGGCAGGTTAACTTCGTTGTCAGTGACATCGGGTGTGAGCCATGTCTCCGTGATAATAATTACATCCGGGTTTCCAGGTTCTATCATGTTAACCAGCTCAGTCCTTTTATTTAACAGGCTGCTGGCGTTTGCGCAGCATACTGTTAATTCAGATTGGTGCTTCCCCGGCCCGCCACAGAGGTTTCGGGATCATTAAACTGCGAACTCGGACAACCCGAAAACCCTTAATCTTAAGGTTCTTCTCGCCGTTCCGGCTTCGCTCACTTAATTCTAGTGCTGCAGCCTGTCTTTTGACACGGTCTGCTAGGCTTAAGTCAGCGCGGACATATATCTCTGATCCTTTGGGAATATGACAGTTGCTTAGAAAAGCATCCCTCTCCGCTTTAGAGTTTAGTACGACTTTGAGGAGACGTACAGGCTCACTTACTGTAGGGTCAGGCTTTTAGCCTATTCTGTATACGCTGTGTATAGTAATGCCTGATACTGTTTCTGGCGGTAGCTTGTCTAAAAGGGGCTTGACCAAGTTAAGGTCATGCTCGAATCTGGCCTTAGGATCGAGGGCCAGTGACTCCTCCACTTTGTGGAGAATGAGCGACCTGTCAGAGAGATCGAGTTTGCTTTCCGCGACTTTCTTGCTCTGAGGCGTAAGTGTGTTTCTATCCTTCTTGAGCGGTGTAGCCAAAGTGTTATCCTTATTTCGCTTTTTGCGAGAGACTACAGTACGCCATTCATTGGCGTCCTCCTCGCTAATCGTAATGGGGTTTATCTGTCTGCTGCTCACCGGTGTGGATGAGGCTTGTTCCGGCAGTCCCTGGGCGACTGGAGCTGCAGGTTTTCGACCCTAGTACGCCTCTTCTTCACGGCAGTCTTTCCATTACTGTCACTGGAGGGCTCATCCAGTGTCGTGGGGGCGGCCTGGGTGTCTGTAATATGGTGGGTGTTCTTCTGTGCTGTAGAGCACTCACTTATTGGCAAGGTCGCATCTGGGACATGTGGTGTTTTGTCAATGACGCTAGTCACGTCATCGCTATCTGAGCAATAGTCGGTATTCTTCTGTGGTGGAGGACGCTTGCAGTCCATGAGCTTTAAAGCCCCACTGAGAGTAGCAATGGCTTCTGTAATACGGAGTTTAGTTGTATTACAGCAGTCGTTGCACAACCAGTTTGCTAGAGGTTTGCAGCAGCGTTTGTATGCTGCTGGAGTAAGGTTCGTGCACATACTGTGAAACCATCTCTTGCAGTTGTCACACTGCATTCCCTCATCCACTGTAAACTGGCACATAGCCCTTCCGCAGCGGTTTCTTTTGATAGGCATTTTATTTAAAACAAACCGGGAAAAATTAAATACAACTTCAAACATACATAACCTTTATAAATCAGTGATAAAAGCTAGTGAGTGCACAAAGAAAGATATACGTAGCTATTAAGTTATAAGAACACAACTTCTTACAGTTAATAGACTCAAATATGAAACGTAAACTAACTTCGATCAGAATAAACTGATTTAAAGTTAAATCTGTGGACTTTTGGAGCGTATGACACAACAAGAGCCAATAATAAACAAGAGCGTGTAAAGTTAACTCCCTTTTCCACGGCTTTTTTATATATTGACCCATTTTATTTGCTGATGACTTTGCTTACACTCATATTCTATTAGGACCTACTAGAAACTTAAAGCCAAGGCAGTGACAGTGTTGTAGAACAGTGTATGCATACCAAAATAAACAGATATCCATCCTTTCACTTCCCATGAAGGATCAACAGAAGTACAGGAAACAGTCCTGTTGCACCGAATTTACTAAAAGATTCAGCACCGTTACACGTAATCAGTGGGTAGGCATCAAGGAATAGACGTACTTGTTCAATGTAGTTATAAAAACACAGCGAATATTGGACATTGGCTCTGAGGTTATGGGTATTGACAATTCGTGAGTGACCTTGCGAGCTGAGCAACAATTATGAAGTTATGCTCCGTTTTGTGGATTATGTTGTTCTTGTCGGATATGACTTTGAAAAATCAGGTAAAACTTTTGAACTACTATTGTTGGTATATGACATAATAATTAGGGACCAAGTATCTCCTAACCAAATTTTTTTTCATGAATTTTGTGTGCTGTAGCCTGAGGATTAATACAGTATACATGTACATATATATGTTTATATGCATAGCTAATGTAATCACCAGTATTTTTTTGTGGGGATTAATACAAGAGAAGAAGGCGAGACTGGTAGTAGAACTGTGACGTGCCATCTCAGTAAGAAGGGAAAATTCGGCGGGTGTTTCAGACAAACATTTAAACCATTTTAGCTATTGATATTGCTGCTCAGGTAGTAGCTGAATTCAACGGACTATGTAGGTTATTTGTTTCCGAATTCAGCGGCAAAATAAGGTAGAAACAAACAGCCAGAATTTATAATACACGTGCCTACAGTGTCACTTCTCTTAATAGCAGGTATTGACAAGAATTGACTAGACATCCTTATTTTCTGGGTCTGGATTGAACTGGTTAGATTTCTGATAATTCGTATGGTTAACTGAAAATTGCAGAAATGGGGACGTTTAAATGTCAAATTTTGAATGTCATTTACGTAGGTAGGGTTGTACTATCAGGATAGCTGGCAAAAGCTTAGTGCTAGTTCCTTGAATCTACGTAATCAGTGGCCTAAGAGACTTAGAAGGAGTTTTATGGTTTCTGTTGCTCAGCTTAAAAATTCATTGTTAGTCTTATGTGTTGCTTATTTTTTATTTATTATTATTGTGGCTTGACTCCACACAGTATTTTTGATACAGGTATGGAGTTTTCAGCATTTGATATCGGTAACCCGAATTCGGCAGGCCGACCATGGATATCACGTGTACGTTGGCCGGGTCGGATCATGTGCATGATCGGTGAGCGCCCTAACTGCTGTGCCATCGACGCACTTTAATAATGACTTACAATGGAACTATTATGTATTTTGTTTAACTAATTCTATACGCATCAGACTGGGGGTATATTTTGGGATTCCTGCCTGTTTTCAACAATTAATTTCCCTTATTTGGAATCATGTACTTATGAAAGATCTTAAGTATTCAAATTACCCCTGGCTTGGCAACTGTCATTTCCTTATATAACGTTAGTTTACAGTTGACTATTATTGTTCAGGTTACACATTACTCCCAACTTAACACGACACTTTAAGGTCTGTCTATGTTTTCGACATAGAACTTTGCACAAATGTGCGGAAGTTCAAGTCGCCACACCGTGTAGCACGCGAAGCAAGAGAAGAAAGTACAAGAAAAGCATAATAGAGACTGAGCAGAGGTGTGAGACAAAGGAGTAAGGTGAACAATAGGTAACCATGCGTATATAACCATCCTAGAAATGAGCACAGAAGCACCTCACTTCAAGTTCTTACACTTTGAAGAAGCATACAAAATAAGGCTTGCATGGTGTACTGTTAGTATCTTGGATAATAAGATTTCAGTGTACCTTTTGTGCAGTAGCATACTTCATTTCCTTGTGAACTTGTATGGATCCCACTTGACGAGGTTGACACATTAAATAGTTCGTTTGCCACCATTTAATTAAGTAATTTAGAGCGTATGCAAAATATCCAATACTCAGTTGAATATCGGATGTCAAGTATTGGTGAACTTTGTCCCACTATATACCAATATCTCTTGACTTTATCCTCATTTGTGTTACAATCGCTACTGTAGTGACATACATTAGTAGATTTACGATTAAGTTTAAGAGCTTTTCCACTTAAGATGTTAACTAATAATTCCCAACTATCCTCTGTGCACTACTGGAGAACATCAGTGTTAGAATTTTATTGTTTCGTTCAAAGGACACGTTACTTTCCCTAGATAATTTCTTCGGTTATCTTTGGAGTGATATCGGTTTCGTGTGTATCATTTATACAGCATTTCTTGTTTACAGTATACACTTTGTGTTCATGTTCATAAAGATTAATATTTTATAGCTGTAGCATTAATCCACATGTTTATATTCTATGTGGTATCGTTAACTATAACCTAAGAAATGGAGATTCTACTCTGTATATCCACTTGTAATTTGACATTGTTTTGTATTTGCTTCAGCTTGTGATAAGCGCTATGACTTTTTCTTTATTTCTTCAGTTGGTGGTGAAAGCGAAGGACGTATTTTACAAAGATTTCCTTCAAAATGTTGGGACGACTATCCTTACAACTTCAAAATTGAGACAGTAAATCGTTTCCTTTCCTTTAATAATCGATAATCTTATAAATTTAGTTCTGTCAACCTTGTGGTTGGTATCTTAGTCGGAACAAACCAGCACCAACATTCTTTGTTGCGTACTTGACAGATGTTGCTGGAAATCCATATTTTGCAGCCTGTCTTACTTTTCACGAGGCTGTATCACCTAGTCAACTACTAAAATTTAAAAATCCTTATAATACTATTCATAACAGAGTAAGGGCTGCAGGGAATGAGTTGAATCGTTATCCTCATAATGGACCTATAGATGGGTCATTTGTAAATAAAAAAGGCTTTCTTATTTCTAATTTTGCATGTCAGTCTGAAAATTATCCCTTAAATACTCGTATCAGCGTAACCAGTTTGGATAGTAATGCTAGTTCACCGTTGAGTTCAGCAATCGGTGTACACGATCAGTCGATAAACCATTGTGGTCTGAGGTCGATATATGATGCTGGTGATCCAAATCTAGTACGTCCACCGGAATTTTATGCACCAAAGTGTTTGGTTTTCCTTGCTCGTCATCAACACTTTGATGTGTTGAAGGTAAGTTTCTTTCTATGTATAGAAATATTTTGATTTTTCGTTTGTGATTTCAGCTTGATTCCACACCGTATTATTTGGTAAAGGTATGAAATTTCCAGCATGTGATATCGGTAGCCCAAATTTAGCAGGCTGACCATAGATATCATGTGTGCGTCGGCAGGGGATCGAACCTCAGACCATTTGCATGGTCAGCGAGAGTCCTAACCACTGTGCCACTGACACAATATCTGAATATTCAGAATTATAATCAATCATTTTTATGTACATTGATACATACTGTATTGTCATCTCACTTACATTAGTCACATTTCCTTAATCACTTATCATCTATCTTTTTGTTTAGCTTTACTATGACTTCCGACGACTTCTCTTATGTTGCGTTGTCTTTTTCTTCTAATCGAATTTCACTCATCTCAATCTGTATTCATTACATTATGTGGAATCAATTCATCTGTATCACTTTGTTTAGATTGTAGTAAAGCGAAATGAACCCAGTGTTACACCAGGTTGTTCATGCTTACTGTTACTGTTTAAGCACTCGTATTGTCAGTAGCCAGTTGCTATGTGGCAAGTTGTACTTATTTATCCATTAAATCTGAAATCACGCCTACCATTCAGCTGGATTACTCTAATAAAATAGTAAAATTTTCCTTCAGAATATCAACATTAACATCATTAAGTGTAGCAGTCAAGAAGTCAAGCAGTAAGGCAGCTCTGATCTCTAACCACTTAAACTAGTAACAGCAGATGACTGCTATCATAGTATGCCTGAATGAGTGCAGACGGAAAGCATACATGTGAAGGTGACTGAGAGGTTATTCAAAACATCTTTTAGGTTCTGTATGTCCGTCTGTAAACAGCGTACATCAGTAGCGATGCTTTTTGATGCTGAGCTATATATCTGAGCTGTCGTTTAGTGCGTAAATGTTTGTGGGGGCGGTAAGGTGTAACAAACATATCTGTCTGTCTGTTTTCGACATAGAACTTTGCACAAATGTGCGGAAGTTCAAGTCGCCACATTCCGTGTAGCACGCGAAGCAAGAGAAGAAAGTACAAGAAAAGCATAATAGAAACAGTGAGCAGAGGTGTGAGACAAAGGAGTAATAAAGAAATACAAAACAGTTTCATTGAAGATCATAAGTCACAGGGAGTGGATACATCTGCGCCACTGAGAACGGTTTTGAGCCATGTCACCTATTGTTTCCAACCATAGATTTTTACCGTCCCGAGGACCCCAGCCTGGAAGTCTGCACCTTTCTACGTGGCTTAGACCAACTGTTGTGGATTTCATTGACTGATGCCAAGTTTTTGTTTGACCGCCGCTAGCGTTTTTCCAGCCTGACCCTATATCCGCTAACATTGCTCGTCGAGGGAGGCGATGGCTTGGCATACGTAACACATGTCCTAGCCATCTCATATATAGTCTCAGATGTACCACTAAGTGCAATGTTTTGCGATAACTAACATTTAGTAATGTGAGGTGACACTAAAAAAATGTAACCGTTGAACACTGGTAAACAGCTGCACAAAACTAAGCTTTTAAACAAAAAGAATACAGTTCACTTATAGAAATAAGAAATTAAATACGATGGAAATTATGTGAATATTTAAATAAACTTTACGACAGCATCAGTGTCCAAGTTTGTCAGACTAAATGAAATCCTGGATATCTTCATTAAGAACACTGTATCATCGTTCATTTGACAATTGTCAACGGTCATATTCAGGTCGAGGGTTCAGGGTCAACTAACTCCTAACGTCTAATACCGTTTTTCACTTTAAAATAAGAAATATCAGTTAAACGTGAAACTAAGACAAAATGATTATGAATCCTCATGTTAGATATTGTTTATCTGGATTTTCCTCATATGGAACTAGATTTTGCAAATGTAGGCTTTTAATTTAGCCTCTATTCAATGAAGAAACACCTACATTGGTATTATGACATCTATTTAGGGTAGATTTTTCCCCTCTTCACCTTATTTTATTGAGTAATAAATCTGACTGTATCTGTTTGGTGTTCATTTTTAAAAAAAAATTAGAATAGTCTGAGCTTATTGTACACTGTCTTCGCTGATTCATTACATCAATACTCTGTGGAACAAATGATTGCGACAGTACTTGGCGGTGTAGAAGTTCCACCAACAGGTTCGTTTTAATAGTCAATATTTTATATTTTTGTTTATGGAATGTTTGAAATAACTAAATAAAAGTCTCTTTATAGTAGTTTGCTATTAAATGGGAGTACAGTTGTGCGATGTGTTGGCTTCTTATCATTTCTGTTGAAGCCATTCTGAATCATCATTTTATGAGTACGCCTAATTTACATGTGTATTTCTATATATTGGTTTTTAAAATAATTGCCTACCGTTTTGGTAAAGAAATTAAATTAAACAGGGAGGTTGTGATAATCTCCATTATATGGAGGAGTTTTAAAATGAGTTATGCATATCGAGCCAAATACTATCCTTTAAACACAGCAACAGTTCCTAAAGTTTGTGGCTTTCCGTATACAACATAAATGGAGGTGTTAGTTTTCTGGTGAAAATTTACGAGTTAGTTGTCGGGGAGTTGTTATCGCCAAAATTCAGGACGTGCACATTGGTCGTCGTCTTCTTAAAATTATGCTGTCTCTTACACTCATATTTTTTCACTTGAAATAAACAGCATAGATAAAAGCTAGATTTTTGAGCCAACTTCATCGGGTATTATTTAATTGATTGGTTCTGTAATGGAATCTTGATTACGTCAATGACTCAGGGGTAGAATGTTTGCCAGCTACGCATACGCTTCGGATTACTATTACTATTCTGTCGACTCAACCAAATCTCACCTAACTGGCATTAGGTTTCTTGTATTAAAAACGACACCAACGCTATGGAGAACTTCAAAGCTTGGGGAGCTCAGACGGTGGGGGCGGGGGGAAACCTCGAACAAATGAATAATACAATGTGTAGTCATGAATAAGTATTTAACTAACTATTTATAAACCTTTTTAATGAATTAAGTTTTCTACATCCTCCTGGATTATTTGTATATTTTAGTTTTATGCATAGCGGTCAGTATTGCTTAGTAGGAAATTGAATAACTTTTTATTCAATACCTTAATAATACAATTTCAATTATATAATGAAACTTCTGTCTATGCTATTATTATTATTATCATCATCACCATCAGTTTGTCTGAACTCTCACTTCCGTTTTTGCAGATATATGCGCTCTAGTGTTTGTCAGCTAATTTGTATAGTTTTATGTTATTCATACACATATATATAATGGTGTATGAAAAAAGGCTTAATCAATCAATTGTTACAGATCTCAAATTTGTCCAGTAAAACACACTTTTGGTTATATAAAGTTTATTCTTTGATTAGAGAGAGAGGTTCCTTTCATCCTTCAACTTTTTTTTTTGATGTAAAGGCAACTGTCTGGTTTACATTCAGTATAGTGAAGTGTATTTGTTGAAGCCCAATTACTAAAAAACAGATTTTTATAATTTATGAGATGGTTGGAGGCAATCAGCCGCAGGAAGCCTTGCATAGACCTAGGTTTCGTGCTAGTTGGCACTCATCAACTAGGCATATCTGCAAACTTGGACGAACTCATTACCCTTCTGAGATTCGAACCGGCGTCACCTAGTGCTGCAGTTAGAGACGTTACCACTAAGCTATTCGTAACGGCGAGCCACCTAGTGTCATGGTGGCCATATTGCAAACTTGACTGACAGAATTCAGTCGGCATCAAACAAAAGGTTGCTAAACACAATGCACTAGTTACTAACTAGTACTCAATCAAATAAAAAGGTGTAATATACAAGGCTAAGGGCCACACAGTTAACGTATGAAGACTGGCGATACTACCTTGTCCAGGCTGTGAAGTACGTGGAGCTGGACTTGAACCTCTGTAACCCATCGGCTGAAAAAAAAAACGACGGCTGAAGGCATTGAGCCACATCTCCACAGTATAATGAAGTATGCACACTAGATTGAGTAATGAGTGACTACTACTACATACTGCTATAATCCATGGGGAAGTTACTTCTAGGAAATCATTTTGCAAATAAGTCAAGAATTTTACCTCCAAGAAATGACCTGTTTGTATGCGTAATCATGATAAAGTCATTATGATGAAGTATAGTAAGTTATTTAGCTTGTTTCACAGTAGGTCAGCTAGAGAGATCATTGAAGACCACCAGGGAGCACTCGACAACTGTTTCCTTCTAGCTTGGATACACGCATTTGCTTCCACTGCTAGTTACTGCTAGTAAACTACAAACTTCAGTTTTGTGTGAGATGTATTGTGTGTGTGTGTGTGTGTGTGAGAGAGAGAGAGATGTGGACTGATCTGGTAAAAGCCACGTGTTATATTCAGTGTGATCGTGTGAAAAGCTATGATGCCGTAACTCACTACGGTAGCCCCAAAAGCCATACAGTTAAATCAATAAGTCAAAATGTCTTTGTGTAAGTCAGAAGTATTATATGTACCCTTTGTAACTGAAATCCATTGATTGAGTTCGGAGGTGTTCTACACAATTGTGGTTCTCACACTGTATCCTTGCCCTTCAGGTCTGTGCTGTACTATTCCATTCTAGACAGTCGAATGAGGAGAAAAACAAACAAACAGTGGATCTGCTGTTTGAGGATCTTAAATTTCCAAGGCATAAATGATCCCTATCCAAATATTAGTAGTTCAACGAAGAGTCTCTTCTCGGAGAATTCATTCACTTAGCTATCCAATCACAATTATGCACACAATTAATTTTGTATGTGTGTGTGTGTGTGCATTAGGTTTGTCAGGCAAGAATAAAAACCTATTTCGTGTTATTAGGACTTCATCCTGAGCTGACACTGGTTTAGAGAACCATTGGAAAACTTGAGAGTACTGCGCAACTGTTTCGTCCTAGTTTGGGATTCTTCAGCAGTACGCACCCATCGGGATTCTAATCCAGGACCTTCTGGTTACAAGGCGAGCTCGTATACCATTAAGCCACTGGGACCCGATCCAATGGCCCATGAATTCTAACTTCTGCCAATTCACAACATACCGCGACCCCCTAGCCAATGTCTTCAGTGAGTATTTGTCCTCACACCCGACCTGCTGCACCCTACTGGTCACGAATTCTCACTAGAGCCCTAGGTAACTACCTGCCTGAATAGGGCAAGCCGCTAGTGAGAGTATACGAGCTCGCCTTGTAACCAGAGGTTCCTGGGTTCGAATCCCGGTGGGTGCGTACTGCTGAAGAGTCCCAAACTAGGCCGAAACAGCTATGCTGTACTCCCAAGTTTTCCAGTGGTTCTCTAAACCAGTGTCAACTTATGGTGAAATTCTGTAACCAATAAAATCCTTACAAATCAACACTTAAATACGAGAGTTATAGGGAGTTAGAAAAACAAGCATACAAAAGTTAAGTCGGTAGAAATCAGAGCGAGGTTGCTGCCGTGATAACATAAGTGGTTGAATAATTTTCTTTTGTGTGTGTAGTCCCAGTGTTTTCTATCTGAATGTCTAAGACTTTAGCAATACAGAAGAGATGAAAGCGTATTGCTTTTGGCAAGTTATTCTTCACTTTGTAGATTATTTTGAAGGAGGCGTTTGTTGATATGAAGTGACCAGTGTTGACAAGGGTTTTCAATTATCACACTCCTTATAGAACCATGACTACCTTTCTGCAACCCTACTGTGGAATAGTGTTGTTAAGCCTTGTTAGACAGGATACGTGTCGAACAGCCAATATACCCGGCTCTACTACAGCAACAGGTGAACTGATTGATATATGCACACAGAAAAGTAGTCAGATGCGAGATCTCGTCCTGAAGACTTCTACAGACCAATGAACGATTGGAGTTATAGTATGAGACTATTCATCACTTTTTTTGGAATATTTTGATGACGTAAACATTTACGCCAAGTAATTTGTATTCTTCTCGGACAAACCTAATGTACACACACACACGAAAAAAAAGTGATTACATATATAATTTCAATTGTACAGCTAAGTAAACTGAACTACGTGTGTTTTATTTTTCATTAAATGAGATGATCTCAACTTTCTCCCGGGGGGCTATCTTATTTCCTTTTTTTTTCTCTTCTTTGATGTTAACAGGTGGTCCACGTGTTACTTTCAGTCTAGGCACTGGTGATCGTCAGATAATTCAACCGGCTCATTGTAGTACTATACCTGTTACGCGTAATTGTGTAGCTTCATTGTTCAAACATTTAGGTAAAATTACTTGTCCAAACACAAATGTTTTACTGTGCTTTTTACTCATTTCATCACTGGTCTTTCTACTGTTTTGTAAAATATCGTTTTTGTTATGTAAATTACCGAATTAGTGTCATCACAGGTACCAGTTAAGTGTGCGTATTATACATAGCTTGGTGGAAACACAACTGTCTATCGGCTTAAAGCGTTACAGACAAGAGATTTGCGCTTCAGTTGAGTGGAATGAAGATAAAAGTAAATGCTGGGGTGTGTGATTAAAATGCAGTCATATGTGACAATAACATTTCTACTATAATGTGTGATAGCCAACCAACTATTGATTTTGTATTTGTATTTTGTTGCGAAAACTGAATATATATATATATATATAAATCCCTATCGATTCTGGTTTTTTTGTATTTTATGTTATTGGCGCTCGAATCATAATCATATAAGAGCGCAAATCACTAAGTAGAGGACCAAAGTGCATCACTGTTGGTTATATGCGTTGATTCTCAAAACAATTTCCATTAACAAGCTGTTATTGTCAATACAGTTATGGTAGAATGCATTTAGGCTTTGTAAATTTCCAAAATAAGTAAACATAATGGGTGTTTGATGAGTGCTACTTATCCTGACGGAAGTCAATATGTTGCTGTACGCGCTATTACATTAGAATTTCGTCAGTGACTAACTGACAGACTAATTGGTTTCAACGTAGAACTTTCTTGTCTTGCTTTGTGTGCTACATGGAGTATGGCAACTTGAACTGCCGTACATATGTGCAAAGTTTTATATCGAAAACAGACAGACAGAACTTTGCACAGATGTACAGCAGTTCGAGTTGCCACATTCCCTCAGTGTAGCACACAAAGCAAGAAAAGAGATTAAACAGACATTCAAGAGAGAGACAGAGAGAGAGAGAGATAATAAACAGAAGAGTGAGTGAGGGAAAATAGAATAGTACTCTGAAAGAAAAATAGAGTTTCACTCGATATGACAAATCACAAAGAGTGAATGCGTGTGCTCCATTGACAAAGATCTCTTTCTCACGTTAGGTGGTATAATAAGGTAAGTAATGTTGACTTTAAGCGTAGAGTGTTGGGCAAAGAGGGAAAATCAATCGACGAGGCTATAAAGCTACATAGATTGAGATGGCTAGGTCACGTGCCGCTCATGCCTAACCATCGCCTCCCCCGACGTGCATTGCTAGCTGATATAATTGCAGGTTGGAAAAGAGTAATTGGTAGCTAAACAAAAACATGGCCTCATCAATCCATGAAATCCTTGGCAGCTGAACTGAGTTAGGTAGGGAGATGCAGACTTCCGGGTTGGGGCCCTCGAGACTCTAGGAATCAATGGCTGGAGACAATAGGTGACATGGCTCAAAATCGTTGTCAATGGCCAGCTCAGATGTATTCAGTCTGTGTAATCTTTCATATTCCTTTCCACCATTACCCATTCTGTTTCACTCTTATACTTGTCAGACTGTATTGATTCTCTTCACTCATCTTCTTGTCTACCTTTGTGTGCTATTTGGAACGTGGCAAGTTGAACTGCTGCACTTCGGTGCCAAGTTCTATGTTGATTCCAGACAGATTGACAAAGATTTTGAGCCATATCACCAATCGTCGCCAGCCATTGATTTTCGGAATCCTGAGGACGCCAACCACTTAGCTTGTCTACACCTCCCTATTTGACGGCCGGCTTAAACTAATTGTTATGGGTTTGATTGACTGATTCCATGACTTGGTTCGACCACAGCTAGCTCTTTTCCAAACTTATCTAATGTCATTTAATTGAATTTTAGACAGGAAATCTAAAATTCAGTTAAATAATTAATACGAACCGCTGCACAAGAGGTGGCTCTCGTGTCCCAAGTGGTCTAGTGGATAACGCTTTGGCGTTTGAAACTATAGGCACTGGGTTCTAGCCTCAGTGGGAACATCATCACTCACTGAGAAATGCGGGTACATCCAGATGACGAATCCCAAATAGGACGAAATGCGCGTCCTGGATTCCACTGCTAGTCACCATCCATCAGGTGATCTAATGTCATCTAACATTGCCCGTCGAAGAAGGCGGTAGCCAGGCATGCGTCATTGTGTGCCACGTAAATGAGGTCTATTATTTGCATTTCGGTTAGTTATATTTGAACTTTTCTGTTAAATTCTTTTGATTTTGTTACGACCTGAAAGCTTCTTTGTTAGCCAGGAAGTCGTGATTTCTGCATGCGCTGACATGATAGCTTGATTGGACAGTTTTTAATTAGCTTGGTTGTGGCTTAATTTTTTGAGGGATTTTGACGTTATACAACTAGTCAGGTTTCTTCATTTAACTTACGGCTTAGATTTCCGAGGTTTGGTGAATATGATATTCTGCATATTTTGTCTAATAAACGATGTCACCGTTGTTGTTGTTTCGGTCATCGCCATTATTCCCAGTCTGACTTTTGTGTCGATCTCATTATACGGTGTGTGTGTGGATATTTCCAGGTGATCTGTTGGTTATAGTGTCGTATCTGGAGGTGTATTTTTTATTTTTTTATATTTTTTTATTTATTATTATTTTTTTATTATTATGGTCAAGTTAGGTGACCCCGCAAATCGGTAACACTTCGGCAAAAGAGATTTTTTAAGGGTTTTCCTCATAATGTGTGTTTTTGTCTTTTTGAAACACTTCATCTAAAGCTATATGTTTTCATCCTATGTATTTCCGATCGATAGCTACTACCTTGACGTTGATATAGTGGTCGGGCTTGCATGTATGTAGCAATAACGCAACTAGCCACGATGGCTGGAACCTATTGTTCCTACAAGTCCTATCTCACCAGAAAAGTTGTCTGAAGAGTGGTTGGACTAAAAACAGTTACCATCATAATTCAAGTCATTTCCAGTATGTTTAGGGTGTAAAGGCAACGAAGTCGTACTGCCGGCGAATAGGGCGTTTGTTTTCCTCGGAAGAACAGTAAACCAGCTATGCTGCCTCTCCGCTCTGGAGAGGTGAATTGGACTAAAAAAGTCAACCACGAAAATAGTACATCCCGACTTATCTTGCTGCGGTTCGTAGCCGGTGGTAAGACAGAGCTCTAATAACCAACTCAAACAGTCTCTGTGTATGTGACTGGTCTCAAGCGGTTTTCTCCTGGGCGGGCACTGTGGTCATACAACACTAATAATCCTTCTATTTCAGGTATTCTCAGAAAAAACCAACTTCCATGGTGTAGACAACTGGGGAGTAGTAATCTCTCACACAATTCCATAAGTACGCAAAGCTTTCCTAATCGTTATCCCACTCAGTCAGTTGTTTTACATAATAATATTGTGTTTCAAAATTTATTCACTGGTTTTTCTTTCTTCTCTTGTTTATTTTTTTTTATCTATCACGCCAGGAATACATAATGTGATTTTACTGTTCACTGCAGTTCTAAGTGATCAAAAAGTTCTTGTCTGCTCACGCAGTTTAAACCGGCTGACAGAGGCATGTCATGCGCTAACATCTATCCTGTATCCCTTAAAATATGGGTGAGTTACACTAAATTATTTTCAAGTGTTGATTTGCAGGGATTTGATGTCAGTCGCAGGATTGCCCACTAACTGGAAAACCTTAGCGTACTGGACAGTTGTTTCGTCCTACTTCGAGGCTCCTCGATAATGTACATCCGCCTACAGGGTTCGAACCCAGGAGCTTCTGGTTACCCAACGAACTGAATTGTCTGCGAGCTAACCTCATAACTGGAAAGCCCCCTGGGTTCGAACCTTAGGGGTGGGTGCCTACTGTTGAAGAGTCTGAAGCACCAGGACGAAACACCTGTTCGGATACTCCCAGATATTATTTCACGTAGTGATATAAAACTTTTTAGGGGTCACTGGTTCACAATGGTGAGAATTCACGCCTCACGTGTGTTTCAGATTTGACTCCTGATCGACGCACCTAAAAATCACTATGCTGGTAGCGAATATGGTCAAGAGGGAAGGTTTGGGCAAGCGTGAGCCTGGCAACCCGACCCCGTAAAAACTAAATACCATTAATACTGAAACTCCAAAGTTCAGGCTTGAATTCCTGTGTCCTACTGGAAGTGCAAAGGGAGAAAATAATTATTATAATAATTATATTCAAAGGATCGATTTTGTATAGATTTCTACATGTAAATTGTAAATTGACTTCTAATAAATATTACAATTTCAGTTAATTATGATTATTTCAGGTAATAATACTGATAACAATAGTAATAATAATAATAATGTAAATAGAGGTGTTTAATCACTACACACATCACAGTTAAATATTTATAGAATTGTTACAATGTCGAATAAATCAAATGTGAATGTACAGCTAGCTATACATCGTTATGGATCTGTTTCATAGCTCACTAGGGTTTTAACATTACACATTAAAACTATCAATATAACATTTTTTGAACTTAGAATGACTTGTTTGACTGTATAAATTGTCTTTCTAGGTCGGTTATTCATATTTTTTGTGACGACTTGAGTTCCAGATTCCCTCGCACTTAAAATATGGTTGAGTATGTTCTTCTGATCAGACGTCTTTTATATGTTGGTGATTTATGGGGGGGGGGGAATAAGTCCTGGGTTGCGCTAGGAGGATGATCCTGGTCAGTCACTTCTGAATTACTCTCTTGATCCTTTACCGTAAGTGGCATATGAGACCCACTCGTGGTAATATGGTTGTGGTTTCACTGGAATCCCCCAAGAAGCCGTCGAAAATTTGAGTGGTAAATACATAGCTGATTAGTATTGTAATGAGACTGATTGTATTATACGAACAGTTGTGCAACTTGACTCATCATTAATGTGTGTGGCTAGGCCTCCAGAACTTGGAGGCACATTGTCTGTTGCAACGCTGGTACAAACATCTTATGGAAGTGGACAGTTATTGGCTGGACAAGCAGTTTAGATTTCCTGTTACCTTCAAATGTATTTGCTAAAACACAAACTTGGGCACCAGGAGAAGCAAGGGCTGACAGGTGGTGGTTTTCTTCAAGGAGTCACTCCTCCCCGGAGCCTTTGACATGAAGTCTGATCCATTATCCAGTGGAGTAGCGCTAAGAGAGAGAGAGAGACTTCCGCATGGATTTCGACGGTCAAAATAAGTGCATACTTCATTCGATTCGTTTTGATTCTGGAGCCCATAGGTTTAGAGTCAGAGTTTTCCAGCTCCTCTCCTGGGTAGACGTCTATGTTCACCAGTTCAGCTGTAAGTGCCGAACATTCCCATTGCTTACAGGACTTCGTCATGAGCTGACATTGGTTAGAGAACCATTGGAAAACTAGCTGGAAGTACTGGACAGCTGTTTCGTCCTAGTACGCACCCACCTATTGCCCTTTCTCTTTTGTCAGGGACACCTGCGCTGTGACGTGAAGGTAGTGAATAGAACTTATTCGGCAGAGTCTATGAATGCGTGACCACATTGGAGGATTTTGAGCCGAAGACCAAAGCGGGTCGTTTTTTATAGGGGAAGGTTTTTTCTGTTTCTATTTGATGTGCTACCATATTTAACAATTCGGTGATGTTTTCTTTTATCCACCTCTATAGGCATACATATGTTCCTATACTGCCTAAATCGTTAATTGAATTTGTCAATGCACCAACTCCATTCCTGTATGGTATTCATTCATCCTATCAACATTTACTGCCTGATATGGTAAGTAATCATAGAGTATTTATAGTGTTACCTCTTTCATATGTCTCCTTTGCATATAATTTTGACAATGCACAAATTGAAGCTTAAACTGACTTTGAAGGCATGTTTTTTTCAAAGGTGTCGCTGTGTTATATGACTTTCTATATAAGTTTTTGAATTAAAATGTCTACCTTACTGAGATTCCGCAGTTATTGTGTGTGAGTGTGTGTATGTACGGGATGGCTTTAGTAAATTTATATTCATTTTTATACTTTTAGGCTAAATCGAGTGTTGAATAGTTAATTGATCGACTGTGTAACTCCATTATGGATAAGATTTTATTTTGATAAGTCACACAGTGTTAATAAACCGGTCAGTAGCACAAGAAAAGACTTAAATGATGAAATAAAACAGATAGAAGAGGCATTGGTGTTAGCAAGATCAAAAAAAGCCAAAAGCAAAATAAAAATGATAGTGAAACTAGTAGTGATAACATAAATAAGAGAGAATATAAGTCATCTACTGTTATATCATATAAGGAGGGGACATCTGAAACCCTACGTAGGATTCTTCAAAAGTAGGAATTAGGGTGGCATTCAAACCTACAAACTCACTCTGGTAGGACAAGCTCTGTAGGCTAAAAGACCCGATGGACGTCGGTGGCACAGTGGTTAGGACCCTCGCCTACCATGCACATGGTCCAAGGTTCGAGCCCACGCCGACGCACACCCGATATCTATGGTCGGCCTGCGAATTTTGGGCTACCGATATCAACGCTGAAAATTCCATACTTGTACCGAAAATACGGTGTGGAATCAAGCTGTAAATCAAAAAAAAAAACAAATTACCTTGCGATGACTGTCAGTTAAGTCAACTACATAGGTCAAACTAGTAGGTCAGGGGTAGTCGGATTGTCGGAACATAAGAATTTAGCTAAGGTAAGAATGGTTGACCCCGAGAAGATAAGTAATTTAGAAAAAAGCTCAGCACTGCATTGCACTGCATGCATTAACACACAACCACACAATAGGGTGGGTGGGAGAGGGTTAAGATTCTAAGAAGCGATATAGGTAGGTGGAGAGAGAGAGAGATTGACTAAGGAATCCTGGTTCATTGAGTGTACACCCAACACATGCAACAGAAATGACTCAATACAAATACCAGCGATATGCATGGACGATATTATTACCACCAGTCAGTCAAATCAGAGGAGGATAATAAATAATCTTAAAATTCTATTTCAATTCAAACACATCACAACATTCTAACAAGTTACTTATTACGGAGATAAAAAACACTCGTCTTATTTCCCATCTGATTGTATTTAATGAATAACACTCGTATTATTATTTCTGAATGTGCATTATCCTATATTGATTTTTATTCCAATATCTAATCGATTCCACACATGTATATAAGTGAAGAAAACCAGTTGTGTGAGTGAGTAACTTGATTTGATTATGAGCAATAATTTGTGCTCGAAACGTGGTCATCAGTAAATATAACTGTGTGACAGTTTATCAAAATAAAATCTTATCCATAATGGAGTTATACTCTATCATCACAATGCCCAAGTTTTATACTTATATCAATGATCGACTGTGCATTTTAATCTTTGTGGTAATATACATACGAATTTCAGTTCGAATCAAACCAAGGTTTTTGATAAATATGATGATATAACTGACTACTAAGTTTCCAGCGTAGACCTATACACAGAAGTACAGCAGTTCATATAGAGAAAACGAAAAAAAAATGCCAAAGAATTATAATGTGAACAGTAAGAAAAGAAAGTATAATTACATGGAAAGGCCTAAACAAATATGATATCCTATGAAGTGTGTATACTCATTATTCATTTGTAACAGTGGTTGATTGGTTAATAAGTTCGCCTTGTAACCTAAAGGTCCTGGATGCTTACTGCGTCCTCCTTTATGTCTGTAAGACACAACTACTGAAAATAGAAGAAATGAAAAGCCTAACTATCTATGATGATAACAGATGTTTGCATTCTATCTCCCGCGTTGTAAAGTATACTGTAATAAGTAATAACAAAGTTAGGCATATAGTGCTAAGTAATGAAAGGAAGTCAGTTTATGAAGCTGTGAAGTTACATCGATTGAAATAGCTAGGACATGTGTTGTGCATGTTGAGCCACAGCCTACTTGGATGGGCAGTGTTGGAGGATTTTTAACTGATGTCAGCTCATGATGAAATCCTACAACCAATCAAACAAAATTACTTTAAAAATTAATACTTGAAAATTGATCTAATGCTCGCTAGCTGCTGGCTCTATTCAGGTAGTTTACCTGGGGTTCTAGTGGGAAGCCGTGAGCAGTAGGGTGTAGCAGGTTTTAGGTAAGGCAGTAACTCATCGAAGAAGACATTGTGAAGTGGTCGCGCTATGTCGTGAATTGGTAGAAGTTGTAATTCATGGGCTGGCCATTGCATTAAGTCCCAGTGGCTTAATGGTTTACGAGCTCGCTGGCCTTATAACCAGAAAGTCCTAAGTTTGAACCCTGGCGGTGGGTGCGTACTGATGAAGAGTGCAAAGCCAGGAGGAAGCAGCTGTCCAGTACTCCCAGCCTTTCCGATGGTTATTTAATTGACGTCAGCTCATGATGAAATCCTCCGACTTGTAATTTCCAATAATTCATGCTATGATACGTTTACTCTAATGGCTTGTGGCATAATACATCAATATGATGTTTGCAACTATCCATGAGTAGCGTGAGTATCGCTCACTGCAAGAGAACCGTTAATGGATAACATTCAGCTGATATTTGTCTATTTTTACGAGTTGATCACGGATTGATATCAGTTAGAGAACCATTGAAAACCGAGGAGTACTGGACAGCTGCTGTTTCATCTTAGTTTGGGAATCATCGTCAATACGCACCCATTGGGATTCGAACCCAGGACCTTCCGGTTACAAGGCAAGCTCGTATACCATTCAACCACTGGAACCGTATTCAGTGGCTCGTGAATTCCAACTTCTACCAATTCGTGATTTAGCGCCACCCCAACCTAAATGATTTACCTAATATGTGAACATTTTTCAGACACAAGAGATGTTGTATAGTGTCTTAAAGTGTTACGTAAATGATTATTATCGTAAGATTACTATTTGATGATTGGCTTACACAGCGTAAAAGTCTGGACACTTCAGGCTGTCACATGTGTAAACAGAGCACATAACGTATGGGAAACTATAGGGAAGACATAATGATTAGATGAAGCTTGACAATTTTTAAAAGTTCAAGGGCTGGTAACAATGAGTGAATACGTATGTATCTGTAGTTCGTATGGGCTGTTTGAATACTCAGAAATGAAATTGTTAAGTAACCAGTGATGAACCAACCAAGAACCTATTGCCAGACAAATGTGTCGAAGGAAGTGTCGGTGGATTGGACACTTGCTGAAAAGGCTGCTAAATGAAATCACGTGCCAGGCCCTAAAGTGGAACCCGAGTGGGAAACGGCAAGTTGGGTGCCGATTAGAGGGTAACATGGAGGAGATCATGTGAGGAAAAGATGAAAGCTTACGTACTAGTTAATGAGGACTGCTGAGAACATTGTGAAATTGAGATGTGCTGCTGAAGCCCTACGTACCACTTGAGACCCAAGAGAATTATATATATATATATATATATATATATATGATAAAGCGACATAGAAAATGTGAGAGGATGACTAAAGTGGCACCATCCAAGAACATGTAGAAATGGGGGTTTCAGTGTAAGGTTTCTGTGCTTTGTCTTAGCTGTAGACCATTTTCGCAACTGAAAATTTTCTGCTAGCAAATCTATTATTATTATTATTATTTTATTGTTCCCTTGAGTTCCGAGTGGAACGTTGAGCTTCAGCAACACATCTCCACTTTGTTCTGTTTTCTGCCATCCTCGTCAGATGGGTCCACGATTTTTTAAACTCTCTCACCTCTTCTTCACACGATTTCCTCCATGTCACCATCACACCGACGGCCCACTTGTCGCTTCCCATTTTATTTCCACTCGAGCAATGGCCTGGGGCGCGATGTCATTCGACAGTCTCCTCAATGTATGCCTGATCCATGTCCGTTTTCTCCTACATGTTTGTTGAGCAATCGGTTCTTGGTTGGTTTGTTCCCACAGTTTCTTATTACTAATGCTTTCTGGCGATTTTATCCTCAGTATGGAGCTAGCGAAGGCAGCTGTTGATGAAAGTCTGCAACCTGTTGGAAATCCTTTCCGTTACACGCTAGCCAAGTTTCTGATCCGTACAGAAGAACTGACCTCAAATTGGTGTTGAAAATGCAAATCTTTTTCCTTATTTTGAGTATAGAAGATTTCCAAACTGGTTTCAGGTTGATGAAGGCGTATCTTGTTTTTCCGATTCTGGCTGGCTGCCTTTGACATCTCCATCCATTCTTCCTGTAGTTAAAACGATACTTCCCAGATAAGCGAAGCCAGGAAGTAACCCCTGTTAAATCTCTCCCTTTTGATGGTGATTGGTGCTGGTTGTTGTTGTTGTTGATTGGTTATCGTCATCACCTCCGTCTTCTCTGTTTCCACCTGGAGTTCTGTCTTCGCTACCGGCCTCTGCAGTCAGTTTGTTGGTTTCCGCCTGTAAATCTTGGAGTTTGTATGACATTAGATATATATCATCTGCGAAATCGAGATCTTCTGGAGTCTTCTTATCGGTGGTCCACCGTATTCCTGTTTTCTCACTCTCATACACAGTCTGACGCGTAATCCAGTGCATCACATTTAGGAACATTATCGGTGATAATAGGCAGTCAGCTTGTCTTACTTCTGTATTCACTTCGAACGCCTCGCTGGATTTTCCATTGTGGATCACCTGACAAGTGGCATTGTCACATAGCGAGGTTAGCAAATCTTACCGTATGTTTTAAAAATTGTGGAATTTGATTTGTAGCATGATCAGTTTGAACAAGTAGCTAGAAATCGATTGGCCTGAACTAATTCGGCCTTCTCTCTCAACTGACTGAATCAGACCGGGCAAACTCCCGATGAGCTCGACCCAAACGAGGGGAATGGCCGGCCGATTTTTAGATTACCTCGATGTGGCTTGCCAGCAAGCACTTGCTGGTTGATTATGAGTAATGCTAAACAACTACTTATCTGGAGCAATTAGTAGTATATAGTTTTATACCGTGTTCTGTTGTTACATTGACATCTGCTGACTGAAAGTCAACTGCTACATCACCACCATGACCATAGTTTCTTATTCAAGTATTGGTTTGTAGGGATTTGGTTGATTGGTTGCATGATTTCATCGCGAGCTGACATTAGTTAGAGAACAATTGGAAAACCTGGGGGTACTGGACAACTGTTTCGTCCTGGTTTGGGACTCTTCAGCAGTTTCTTAAATTTTTTTCCTTTAGTGATTATCTTGTATGAATGAGGTATGTAGACTGCAAAACTACACTTCTAGTCTTACATATATTATACACGAGAGGTAGAGGTAGAGAGAGAGAGAGAGAGTTGTATCGATTAGAGTAATGCGATATTTATGCAACTTGGCGGTTGTAATACACAGTAAACTCTGATAATTAATTCTGTTTGATGAACTACTTGTTTTTTTATTTATTTTGGTTTACGACTTATTTTCATCTGAATTAATCGGGAATATATATATATATATATATATATATATATATATGCATATGCGATTGATACAGAAATATACATATATAACCCTCTTATCCAGTTATAAATGTCGAAACTGGAATAAATCTGGTTATTGGGTGTATGTTATTCATTATTTATAGGAGAATTTGTACTTCCCTGGTGTATGAAATGCAAGACGGTGTTGTTGGTTGTGTTTTTATTGACTTCTGGCTACTTTTAAAGCTAGTAGCTATGCCATAGTAATGTCAAACCAGGATTTATGATGGCTTAAATATACATATCTTGGGTTCCGAATCGAACATATTTTCAACAGCACATCTTGTTCTCTGCAGTCCAAGAGTGACCATAAGCTCACGTCTCTTCATACGATGTCCTCCATGTCACTCTCGGATCCATGCCCAACTCGTTGTTTCCTATTCGGGTTCCACTGAGGGCTATGTCCACCGCACGATGTTATCCGACTCTCTCCTCAGTGTATGTTCAATCCATTTACATTTCATTCTGCGTATTTTTATTGAGCGACAGGTTCTTGATTGGTTCGTTTCTTAGCGTTTCTTTGTTGCTAATTATTTCTGACTGGCCGTCGCATCTTCAGAATGGAGCCACCGAAGTGGGCAGCTTTTAATAAATGTGTGAAGTAGCCTGTTTGAAGCGTTTTCTGTGGCATTCCAAGTCTCTGTGAACTATAATGGAAGAACTGATTTGACATGACTGGTGAAAATCAGAATCTTGTTCTTCATGCTGATTGCAGCAGATTTTCACAATGATTTTAGAGCTAATGTGCATCTGTTGTGCTTCTCCGTTCTTGGTTTTGACATCTTTATCTGCCGTGTCCCCTGTAGCTGAAACGATACTGCTTAAATGCTTAAACGAGGTCACCTCGTTTAAATTTCTTCGACTGATTGTGATTGGTGCTTGTTGTGGTTGGTTAGTTGGTCATCTTCGTTACCTCTATCAATCACATTTTTGTGGTGATAATGTTAGTTAGTGGGAAAGTGATGGATTTAGATCGAATTCTGTCTTAGTTCGTCATTCTCCCGAAGTGCTAATGCTCTGCAACGTTCTTGGTCACTTGTTAAAACTTCTCGGAATGATGTCGATATTTTGAAAGTCAATCTTCTGGCCTAATACAATATCCCCGACTTCTATTGAATAGTCCAGTAGAAGCTTCTTGTGTTCGTGATTTTGGGAGATGGTTGCCTGACGGTATACCGAGTCGCAGTCAGTGAATTTCATTTTTGTCGACACAATTAAATTGTGAAGCTTTCAGAATTTCGCTTTTCACATGAAGAGGATTCCTTAGCATTGTGTGTGTGCGTGTATGATGTTGTATCTGTTGAATACCCTTTTGATAGCATCTCATATATTTCATCTGTATGAGATCACAACTGTTATGCTCCGTTTTTTCAGAGTACCTTTCAAGCCACAATTAATCTTGTTCTTCGTTGCCTTCTTCATTTGTTCTTAGAAGAAAAGAAACAGCTCATACCTTTGAGATGAGGATGAGACACGAGGATTTAAATCCTAAATATTTGTTTGAGTATATTGTCTTCCTAAAAACGAACATTTCCTATTCAGTTGACTGACCTGCTGACTGGATTTAACGAAGAACTTTGCACAGATGTGCAGCAGTTCGAGTTGCCACACTCCCTCCATGTAACACACAAAGCAAGAAAAAATAGAGAGAGATTCAAAAGAAAGATAATAAACAGAATTATGAGGCAAAAAGAATAGATGTATGGAAGAACAATAGAATTTTATTGTATATTATAAATCACAAGGAGTGGATGCATCTGCACCAGGTCAGCCATTGAAAACGATTTTGAGCCACATAACCGACTGTCTGCAGCTATTGGTTTTTACCAACCCAGCCAGCCAGCCAGTCTATACCTCCATATGTGGCTGACTTAAACAAACTGTTGTGGATTTCATTAATTGATGAAACCATGCTTTGGAATGACCACCATTGGCTTTCTCTTTCCCAACCTGACCCTATGTCAGTCAGCTAACCATTGCCTGTTGTCGAGAAAGGCGATGGCTAGGCATGCGTAACACATGTCCTAACCATTTCAGTCAATGTAACTTCACATCCCCTCCCTCCTAGCATTCGCCGCTTCACCTCAATATTGCTCACTTTGTTATACTACTTATCACGGGAGACAGGATGCAGGCACCTATATCAATCAAAGACAACTAGCCTTTCCAGATGACTTCAGATTTCATCTATAATTCGAATCGTCATTTCTAAGTGGCACTGTCAATTACTTGTCTTCACATATATATATATATATATATATATATATATATGGCACAGTGGTTAGGACTTTCGCCGACCATGCACATGGTCCGGGGTTCAAGCCCACGCCGGCGCACACCTGATATCTATGGTCGGCCTGCAAAATTTGGGCTACCGATATCCATACTGAAAATTCCATACTTGTACGAAAAATACAGTGTGGAATCAAGCTGTAAATCTAAAAATCTTAAAAAAAAAATATATATATATATAAGTTCGATTTCCTATTGACTTTGCCTAGTCGGTAGGTAAGTCCTGTGTAAAGTGGGGATATTCGATATGGGATTAGCAACCCCACCCTTTTAAAAAACGACATCACCACTGCTAAAACTTCAAAGCCAAAGCCTGAAGTCCTGTTTTCCATTCGGAAAGTAAAAGAATAAAAAAACATTCTTACGTAGGTTTTCTGTGAAGTTTATAGTAGATTGTTAGGTTTTACTAATAGTACAAAATTGTTTATCAACCACTGAAGTGTATTTCATCATCATTCAGTCTTTATTATTATTGTTCCCTTGGGTTCCTAGTGGAACATAGGGCTTCAACTCCACGTCTCCACATGCTTCTGTCTTCTGCTGCTGTACTTTTCACCTGCATCCATCCATGTTAGTCCATACTGTTTCAACTCACCTCTTCACAAGATCTCCTCCATGTCACCCTTGCACTGACATCCCACTCGCCGCTTGCTTCCCTTTCGGCCTGGTTCCACTCGAGCGATGACCTGACGCGCGCGTGATGTCACCCAGCGGCCTCCTCCTCAGAGAGTGTCCAATCCATCTCAATCCACTTTCTCCTACATATTTGTTGGTTGGCGATTGGTTCTTGTTTTGTTTGTTTGTTCCCATAGTTTCTTGTTGGTGATTGTTTCCGGCCCGGCCATCTGATCTTCAGTATAGATCCAGCGAAGACAGTTGTTGTTGGTAAAGGTCTGCATATGCAACAGGCTGTTGGAAATATTCTTTGTGATCCGCCCGCCACGTTTCTGATTTGTATAGAAGAAGTGACTTGTATTGAAAATCCGACTGAATTTTGTTGTTGGTGCTGAGTGGCGAAGATTTCCAGATCGGTTTCAGGTTGATGAATTTGTTTCTCGCCTTCCCGATTCTCGCTCGATTTGACATCCTTGTCCGTTCCGACTTCCTGTAGTTGAGACAATGCTTCCTGGATAAGTGAAGTGAATGACGTAACCTCTTTCAGATCCCTCCCGTTGATGGTGATTGCCGCTGGATGTTGCTGCTGTAGTTGTTGTCGGTTGGTTGCTTATTTTTATAACCCCCGTCTTGTCTATGCTCACCCATTCAGTCTTTAGTAAGAATATAAACAATCATGCGTATTGGGGAATACTATTTATCGTTGTGGTATGCTTAAAACATCAAATCAGCATTGATTTGTCATTAGTCGTATTATGCTTGTCTAAAAATACAAACTTGGTAAATTATAAACACCAAAAGATGCACCACGGAAAAATATTTCATGCTTTATGCGAAGGTTGAGATAATGCCTGGACGTCCAAACCGAACTGGGTGGATGTGTTAAGGGGTTGCCCTCCCCGTGTTATGATACACAAGGTAGTGTCAGAAGCTGCATTCAGGTGTTCAAAATAGGTTCGTACGCCATTGATTCCTTTCGGATTCTGGAGCCACATATTCACCAATGGGTTTGGAATCATGAATTTTCCGTCCCTCTAGGTAGGCGAACATGTCCACCGAACAGTTGTAAGCATCAGATGTTTGCATTCGCACTTTGATGCACTTTGTGAGGAACACTCTTGCTTCATTAGTAGTCGTATAGATGACGTATATGTGATACAACCTACACCAGTGGAAACAGTCTTCTTTTTATTTGGACTGATAATAATTCTTTTTTTTTTAGTTTTTACGTTCATGCCTTTTGACTAGTTAATAGTAATATTAATAATAATAATAACTACTATTATCTTTTATCATCATTTTCTAGGTTGATGTATTTGTTGCTGACTTGGATGGAGGGAGTGTAGCATGTCCTGAGAATATTCCCATACCTCAACTACCTGATCCTTATTTCACTGAAGTTGTGGAAAATTTATTTCAGGTAATGAATAGTAGTAGTTTTATCGCATGCGTTAATGGCTCTCTCTCTTTTAAAACTATTGCAATTGTCTGGATATATATATATATATATATATATATATATATATATATATATATATATATATATATACAAGTGTCATTGGCATTAACTAATTAACGTAAATAGTTTCTTAGTTCAGGTGTTGTCTTATGCCTTTCTAGTCACACTGTCGCGTATTCTCCAATATGGTTTCATTCTGTAAGTATAGTGAATGTAGAGAATGCTAGAAATGTGTTTATGGCAAATGCCCACACAGTGTTGTCTTTGTTTGTTTTATGAAGATTCTGAGTCATAAATGTGTGTTTTTATTATATAATCACCTTGAAGAGTTAGCGATTAGTCACATCACGGGTAGAAATGTTTTTTTTTAAATATTTTTTATTTATGACTGTATTTGTTCATTTTAATATTTTGTTGTATCAGGTGTCGTGTGATTGATTCTCGACAAGAAATTGTAGGGTTGATGAGACCAGGATGTACTATAAAAGCATAAACTGAGTTGTCCATCATATTGGACCAAAAGATGATGCATCACACAAAATTTCATAATTTGCACCGGCTGCTGGGGTATTGTTCCAAATTCCAGACGGAAGCACGGGATTGTCTTGAGAAGCCACTGCCCCTCCCTGTCTCTGCACCTTTGATTCGAAGTCTAATCCACAAGACAGTGGGGGGGGCATCAGGAATTATACTCCCAGTTTTAACGGTGACCAAAGCTTTGTTGACTGTGTCACATTCAATTCTCTCGGATGCTTTCAGTTCGTGTTCATTATAGGCGTGGAGTCAGGATTTTCCATCCGTGTACTTACGTATTAGGGGATTAAAAATCAACACTTTTCCTCAATGTGGAATAATAATAGGCTAAGTGGATTTTAATGGTTTGAGATGTTTGTGTAAGTAAGTGGCGCTTTCCCATTGAAGCAAAAAACATGTTAGATTAGTAGAATTAGGTATTATTATTATTATTATTATTATTGCTATTTTATTCCTTTACGTTCCCAGTGGAGCATAGCGCTTCAAGCCTAGAGCTTTGAAGTTCCAGTAGCAGTGGTGTTTATTTTTATGGGGTGGAGGTGGGATTGCTAGCCGCATTCCCAACTCTCCCTCTTTACCGGTTTTATCATCGGCTTAGCGAGGTGTGAAGGTAAAGCTACGTAATATGGTATAATGAAACTTGTGTATATGAGGCATAGACATAGTTCTTGAGTGCGTTTAATGTGCGGTTCTTCCCTTAAAAATGTTGGGATAATGCCGCAAGACTTCTCTGCCTGCACTGACTACTACTTTAAAGAATGTGGAAGTGAAGTGGTTGATAAGGTTGACCATTTCACCTATTTGGAAGGCTGCATCATCTTTAACGGACTGATTGTTAACGAAAGCTCAGTACATAAACAAAAGGCTTGTGTTATGGTATTTGCCAACGTATATCGTCTCTGGCATAGACGTGATACTCAGCTATTGATTAGAGGGCGTGTCTACCACGCAGCAGCTCTCTCCATCCACCTTTATGACTGTAAGATGTGAAGAGACAGGTTGTCTGTGTTCTGTTTTCGTATTTAAGTGGTATAATATGATGAGTAATAATGAGGCTAGGTGTAGAGTGTTAGTTAAACAAGGAGGATCAATCGATGAGATTATGAAGCATCATCGATTGAAATGGCTTGGACACATATTAGGCATGTCAAACCATCGTCTTCTTTGTCGAGCAATGTTAGCTGTCATAGGACTGAATCGGACAAGATTCAGGGTTGGTCAGATCAAAACCTGGCACCTATTCATCAAGTCTTTGACAGTTGGTTTCAGCCATGTAGTGAGGTGCAGACTGTGTGGTCAGGGTCCTTGAGACTCTGAAAATCAATGTCTGGAGACTGTTCAATAGCACAGAGGGATTTACTTTTTGTTATCTCTCGGATCCACTGAATCCCCATGTTTTTCCATGGGAATATTCTTTCTCCCTTGCATCTTTGCCCCCTTTTTTAATAGTTTTTTTGAGTTTTTGATTTTCTTTTCCCTTCTTATATGCTCTATGCGAAGTGTAGCACTTTTGTGCCAAGTCTTACATTAAAGCTTATTCAGTTAATGAGTAGTAACTATATTATTTTCAAAGAGTACAGTCTTCAAGTAGTTTCCTCATATTAGTACTTTTGCATGATTGAAGACTGTCGTTGAATGCCAATTTAAAACCCTGTTTTTAAAAAAATCACTTTGTAGTGGAGTAGTAAGGCGTCGGTGGCACAGTGGTTAGGACTCTCGCCGACCATGCACATGGTCCGAGGTTCGATCCCCTGCCGACGCACACCCGATATCTATGGTCGGCCTGCAAAATTTGGGCTACCGATATCCATACTGAAAATTCCATACTTGTACGAAAAATACAGTGTGGAATCAAGCTGTGATCAAAAAAATAATAAAAAATAAAATAGTAAAGTTTCAGAGGTGTTGTTCCTCCTTTCGGGCATACTTTTTTCTACGGGGAGATTGTTAGCTAGCCAGTAGGTTCTCTGTTCAATACGACAGATGCCAATGCAGATGCAAGCTTCAATCAATGCTTTATGTGTAAAACTTGATCACTTTGCTTAGTATGTAATTCCATATAAATTTGTTTATTAGATATATATCACACAGTGAAACAGTTCTATTCACTGAATAGCATTACGAAGACAATTCATTGTTCATCATCATATAATCAGTTGTATCTGTAAAACTTCGAAACTTTCGTCATAGAGAAATTTCCTTTATTCCTTCTTATCTGTCGTAGGTGTTTAATTTTCCAGATGTTCGGGTGAGCGGACAGGGGTTGAATCATTCCTATTACATGCATTTGCAGTTGATTCGATAAACAAGTCTTCTGCTGTTATCAATCTTTCCCTCCACCCTGTGACATAAGATTTTAAAACTGTCATCCTATCCCATCCTATTGTATGGTTGTGTGTAATTGCATGTAGTGAGTGCTATAGCTGAACTATTCTCTAGATTTCTTATCTTATTCGGGTCAACTATTCTGGATTTTGTTAGGCTTTTGTGCTTCGGTAGTCTGACTGACTGACCGTGTTCTACTATGTTGACCTATGTATTTGACGTGACAATCACTGCAGACAGGATATTCGATAAATTGAATTGTTTTGTTTTGGTTGGTTCAACAGGTCTGTCTGTCTATCTGTTTTCGATGTAGAACTTTGCACCGATGTGCGACAGTTCAAGTCGCCACACGCCCTCCTTGTAGCACACAAAGCAGCAGAAGAAAGTAGAAGAAATGCATAATAGAGACAGTAAACAGAGGTGTGAGACAAAGGAATAGTAATCACGAAGAATAATATAGTTTCATTTGAAATCAGAAGTCACAGGGAGTGGATGCATCTGCGCTGTCATTGAGAACGATTTTGAGTCATATCACCCATTGTTTCCAACCATTGGTTTTTACCGTCCCGAGAACCCCAACCAGTCAGGAAGTCTACACTTCCCTACGTGGCCGTTTGGCTTAAACTAACTGTTGTAGATTTCATTGACTGGTGGAGCCATGTTTTGGTTTGACCACCGCTAGTTCTTTTCCAGCCTTACCCTATGTCAGCTAACATTGCCCATGGAGGAAGACAATTGATGACTAGGCATAAGTATCACATGTCCTAATTATCTCAATCGATGTAATTTCACAGCCTCGTCGATTGATTTCCACTCCCACCTACCTAGCACTCGACCGAAGCCTAACCTCAATATTGCTCACCTTATTATACCCCTTCACACGGGAGATAGAGCGCAGGCACCTTTGATCAAAGACAGCTAACCAGCCTTTTCATGTCTTCCACTCTCAATGGCTAGGTGTCACTCACAGCCATAAAGGAGAGCGGAGCGGATTGATGAGCAGTACACACGCCCTTTTTGGTCGATAGCCAGCCGGATATCACGTCTACGCCAGAGACGACGTAAACTGGCATATGCGAAAACAGCCCTCTGTATCTGTTCTGAGATTTCGTCAGAGATCAACCCGTTGGCACTGGTTGATGGTACTTCCCAGATAGGTGAAGTGATCAACGTGCCCTGCCACCTCATTTCCTATTTCTAAACTAGGAGTCAGTGTAGTCCAGTCCCGTAACATCATCTTGCATTTGGTGGGAGCGAATCGCATGCCGAACATTCGTAGATTGCAGCTCAAGGTGTTCAGAAGACTCTGTATTTTGTCAGGGTCCCCACCTAGTTGGGAGGACCATATCGTCTGCATTTTCTAAGGTAACGAAATTATTCCTTGGTGGTAGTAAGTCAATCCCTGAATCTCTGAAGTGAGTTAGGGTTAAGTCCATCAGTACATCTATGATGAAATTGAATAGAAATGGGGATAATGAGCATCCCTGACGGACACCACTAGTCGTCACTACTTCAGATGACAACTTGCCATAGGCCCTCACCTGGCTGGCTGCATGAGTTCGAGTAGAGTGCCTTAATGAGCGGAATGTATTTTCTCGGCATTCCCTTTACAGCCAGACATCGCCAGAGTAAATATCGGTCGACAGAATCGAATGCCGCAGGATCTTCAAATGACAAAGTTTGTTTTTAAGGGAGTATGTAGGCATTTTGAATGCTAGTCACTTTTTATTCCTGCCTTATTAAGAATTTTTCGTCAGGTTTCCGACGTCCCTTATTTGTAAGAAAGTAGCATAGAAGTGTGGAGAATATTTTAGCTATAGCACTACATACAGTTTTTACACACGACCATACAGTAGAATGATGGGATGAGACAACATCTATAAAATCTGATATAACAAGGTGGAGAGAGAGATCGATACCGGAGGATTTATTTATCAAATCAACTGAAATTACGTGCAATAAGAATGATTCAACCTCTGTCCGCCCACCTGAACATCTGGAAAATTCTACTACTACCCGTACTATGAATAGGAAGGAATAAAGAAAACTATAAAATGGGAGTTTCGAAATTGTGTAGTTCCATTTGATGATATGTGTTCGACTCCTTGTCGTCACTCAGTGATGGCGGGCTACGTAGAACGGTGGGCACAATGCAAACCTGGCTGACTGATAGAATTCAGTCTACACCGAATAAAAGAGGACTGGACACGTTACACTAGTTACTAGTGTCCAGTCAAAATACTCACTACAGTCCTACAGGAGGTCAATCGCTAGCCCGTATACCTCAGTGATAAGATCTCTGACTGCAGACAGCACTGGGTGACGTGGGTTCGAATCTCAGGATGAGGGACCTGAGTTCCTTTAAAGTTGCAGATATACGCCTTGCTGACTGGCGGCGATCGCCAACTGGCACGAAACCTAGGTCCTAGCGAGGTTTTCTGTGGCCGATTACCTCTATCTAAATATTAATACTGTTCGGCAGTGTGTGTGCGTTCAATATGTCCAATAAACAAATTCATTTGGAATTCAACCAATGCTACTCAGACAGTGTCATTTATTTAGCACACACCATTGATAAACTATAATCCTATTTTTATTCTGTTATAATCAGTCATTGCTATTTGAGGGCTTTGTGAAAGCAGTCGATCAATCAGTCAGTCAATCAGCCACCTTATACAGCGCTCATATATCCATGTCAATCTATTAAGTCTCTATTTTGTCTATCTTGTATCTAAATACACTAATTAAAATTATGAAAAGTGTACACTAATGAGTTTTTTCTAAATCTTTTTTTCTTAATGTTTGCCTTTTCACACCCTTATTTACAGATTTTAAGTCCAGAATTAATGTCAGCTGATCATGTGTATCCTCCAACAACAACAACTACTTGTACAACTACTGCCTCTAGCCAATCAAATGATTTAATCATACAAGATAAAAAATTACGTGCTGTATTTCTTCGTCTGTTCGCCTCCTTATTCGCTGGTTATCGTTCTTGCCTGACAATTACACGGATTCATCCACAACCAGTGATACACTTCAATCGAGTAAGTCCTTGTGTAGATATGATAGAGAAGATTTGTAGCTCAGGTGGATAATTTTGATGTGGTTGTGTTCTCTGAGCTGGATGAATGGTTTAGTTGCGAAGCTTTCATCGCCCCCCTACCCCACTAGGCGACATCTTCAGCGCAAACTTAAATTTGATGAAGTGAGCTTTTCGATTTCTCCACGAGTTTATCCAAAAGAATGGATATCCACGGAATTTCATCAAAAGACATATACCCCCAAGCCGCCAACATATCAAACCAAAAGCCCCCAAGGAAACCACAAAGAAAATCGCCTTATCCCATATATAAAGGATATCCCAGAAATCACTACAAGACTCTTCAAACCTTTAGGAATTGACGTCGTACACAACACCAACAAAGTCACCTCATCACTCAATTCTTTGTCAACCAAAAGACTCAACAACGGAAGAAGATAAAACCAACATCATCTACAAAGTATAAATTGTAACAACTGCGAAAAACACTACATTGGCCAAAGTGGACGACATCCTCCTTCGTCTTCGTATCCACGAACATAAGCTAGCCGTCAGAAGACATGATGACATCCACTCCCTTGCTCATATCACTCGCTGCATACAGAAAACCGCGGACATCAATTCGACTGGGATAACCAACGTTCAAATATTAGACAGAGGAAACAACAATGAGAATGCTAGAGAATTTTCAGAAGCCAGTCTGGTATTCCAGTGAATCATCAATCAATACACACATCGAGATAGACAAAATTTATCAACCGATAAGAGAATAAACCTCACGCACACAAAGGTTCAAAGTTCAAGTCAAAGAAACAATCAGTTCGAATACAAGTAGCTGTCTAGAAGGTGTGAAAACACACAAAAACAACCAATCACATCCAAGGCCCAGTCACCAGGAGAGATGATTAATAAACTCGTGGAGAAATCTAAAAGCTCACTTCAACTCAAATTGAAGTGTGCGCTGAAGATGTCGCCTAGTAGGGTGGGGGATGAAAGCTTCGCAAATTAACCATCCAGCCCAGAGAATACAACCACATCAAGTCCTCGTGTGTTATGTGCATAAATAAAGTTATGAAATAATAGTGTTTAAACTGATTGTGATAGTTATTGATTGCGTCACTTTAATGTTTTATTAATTTTTTTGAATTTTATTCCCTGTACGTTCCTAGTGGAACACAGGGAGGACTTCAAGCTTAGTGACTTAAAGTTTCGGTAGCGGTGGTGTTTATTTATTTTTACGGGGTGGCGGTGTGGGGTTGCAAGCGTCATGCTCAACTTTCCTTCTCTACCAGTCTTATAATCGCCTTAGCAAGGTAAAGGAGTACGTTGGTGGCTGGGGATCGAACCCCAAACCGCCTGTGGCGTGGTTGGCGAGCATTCTGCCTCTGTGTCACCGACACACACACACACACATCTATGTTTTATGCATGTGGTTTATTGTTTTATATGAGTTTTCTTTTTCTCAGTTGCCCTAGTTTTATCTCTCTTATTCATAAGATTTTGTTTTAATAAATCGCACACAAACTGATGACGTTTCAAGCACAAATTATTGCCACTTATAATCATATCAAGGCACTACTCACGCAACTTTCTGACTTCATCTGCATACATGAGCACAAATTGATGATGAGACGTTTGAATAAAATCAATTAAAATAAGATAAACTACATTCAGAAATAATAATATTAGTGTTATCAATCAAATAATAAAGTCAGATGGGAAATAAGATGGTTTTTTTTACAGTAAAACTACGTGACGTGTTAGAATGTTATAACGTTAACTGAATGCATTTCAAGATTATTTATTATCCTCCTCTGATTTGACTGGTAATAATATTTTGCATATCTCTGGTATTTGTGTGTTGAGTCATTTCTGTTGCACGTGTTGTGTATTTATTCTATGATCGAAGATTCAGTGATCAATCTCTCTCTCCACCTACCTAGATTACTTTTTAGAATTTTAACCCTCTCCCACCCTATTGTGTAGTTGTGTGTTATTGCATGCAGTGCGATTGCTGAGTTTTTTTTCTAAATTACTTATCTTCGTGAGATCAATCATTCTAACCTTAGCTAAATCCTTACGTTCTGGTAATCTCACAGTCCCTGATCTATCAGTTTGACCTATCTAGTTGACTTAACTCACAGTCATTCTAAGGTATTTTTTAAATTATATTATTTTGTTGAATTGGGTCAACAGGATCCTTTAGCCTACAGAGCTTGTTCTACTTGAGTGAGTTTGTAGGTTTAAATGCTACTCTACTTCCTGCTTTATTAAGAATCCTACGTAGCGTCTAAAATGTCCCTTCCTTATGTGGTAGATGCGTAGATGCCTTATAATCTTTCTTATTTGTATTAGTATTATTATTAGTTTTCTCATTATTTTCATTTTGACCTTTTCTTATTTTCCTAATGAATTTTATAGAATAGTTATTTAAACCAATAGAATTACACTCTACCACAGTACACAAGTTCTCCTAATTCGTTTTCAGTGTAATCATGTGACAGCGAACATTCCTCGACACGGTAGACTGTAGTTCAGTATTAGCAATCCCTATCACAGCCATCTCAACCGACCTAGCTTCACAATCTCATCGATTGTTTTTCTCTTCTTACTTAACACAACTCTACGCTCAACCTCAACCGTAATATTATACCATTGAAAACAGGAGATAGATTGTAATCACTTATTATCCAAAGACAACTAACCTCTATAGGTCTTCCACTTTCACTGGCTATGTCTTCTTGCAGCCTTACAGAAACACACAGCGAAATGCTGTGCAACACACACGTCGTTTGATCGATAGCCAGATATTTAAAGTCTATGTGGGAGATGACGTAAGTTGGCGGTGGCTACGTGAACCCTTCGTCAGCAATCAGTTCATTACGGCTGATGCGGCGACGCCTATAATTGAAATGGTCAGTAGTATATGCAGACGAATTGCACCAGGATTCTATTATGGATAAGATTTTATTTTGATAAATCACACAGTGTTTGTTATGCGGTAATATTAACTGATGACCACGTTTCAAGCACAAGCTATTACAAGCTATTGCCAGTCATAATCATATCATATCAAGTCGCTCACTCACACAACTGGTTTTCTTCATTTATATACATGTGTGGAATCGATTAGATATTGGAATAAAAATCAGTATAGGATAGTGTACATTCACAAATAATATTACGAGTGTTATTCATTAAATACAATCAGATGGGAAATAAGACGAGTGTTTTTTATCTCCGTAATAAGTAACTTGTTAGAATGTTGTGATGTGTTTGAATTGAAATAGAATTTTAAGATTATTTATTATCCTCATCTGATTTGACTGGTGGCAATAATTGATGAATAACACTCATATTATTGCAACCAGTCAAATCAGAGGAGGATAATAAATAATAAAATTTTATTTCAATTCAAACACACATCACAACATTCTAACAAGCAGCTTATTATGACTAGTTATGTTTTTACGAGTTGACCACGGATTGATATCAGTTAGAGAACCATTGAAAACCAGGGAGTACTGAACTGAATCGGCTCCTAGTGGCTGAATCGTATTAGAGTTTGCCTTGTAACCGGAATGTCCTGGGTTCGAACCCCTGTGAGGGGTGCGTACTGCCGATGATTCCCAAACTAGGATGAAAAAACAGCTGTCTGGTAGTACTCCCAGCTGGGTTTTCAATGGTTCTCTAACTGATATCAACCCGTGGTCAACTGTGTGACAGTTTATCAAAATAAAAATCTTATCCATAATGGAGTTATACTCTACCACCACAATGCCCAAGTTTTATACTTATATCAATAATTGCACTAGGATTGCTTATTTATTTATTTTTTCTGTTTTAACTAAATCTAGTCTACATAACTGATATGATTGTGATGATGATAATGATCTCACTGGATTAGCTGATTGCGATGTATTGATTTTAGATCATGTTATAATATAACGCTTTTAATCAAGCTTATTTCATCAAATGGTTTGATTCTCTGCTAATCAAAGCGTTTTTTGTTTTGATGTCTATGGGTGTGTAAATCACTTTGATGTTGATGATTCGAAAATAGCAACTACCCTGTGCATAGCATACTACATTCATACATTTATATGTGCTTTTATGTTATGTCGCTTTCTGTCTGTCTGAATTCAACATATAACTTGACACCGAAGTGCAGCAGTTCGAGTTGCCACGTTCCAAATACCACACAAAGGTAGACAAGAAGATGAGTGAAGAGAATCAATAGAGTTTGACAAGTATAAGAGTGAAACAGAATGGGTAATGGTAGAAAGGAATATGAAAGATTACAGAGACTGAATACATCTGGCTGGCCATTGACAACGATTTTGAGCCATGTCACCTATTGTCTCCAGCCATTGATTCCTAGAGTCCCGAGGGCCCCAACCCGGAGTCTGCATCTCCCTACCTGACTCAGTTTAACTGTCAAGGATTTCATGGATTGATGCCATGTTTTTGTTTGGCCACCACTGGCTCTTTTCCAACCTGAACCTATATCAGCTAGCAATGCCCGTCGGGGGAGGCGGTGGTTAGGCATGCGCAGCACGTGACCTAGCCATCTTAGTCTATGTAACTTTATAGCCTCGTCGATTGATTTTCCCTCTTTGCCCAACACTCTACGCCTAACGTCAACATTACTTATCTTGTGAAACCACCTAACGTGAGACAGAGATCGCAGACATCTATGATCGAAAGCAGTCAACCTTTTCATGTCTTCAACGCGTATTGGCCATGTTTCAGAGCCATAGAGAAGGACGGAGCGAACTGATGAGCAGTACACACGTCCCTTGGTTGATAACCGGATGTCACGCCTACGCCAGAGATGGTGTAAGTCAGCGAAAGCAGCTCGAGCTTTTCGGATCCGTGCTGAGATTTCATCGCCAATCAGTCCGTTGGTGCTAATACAACTTCCCAAATAGGTGAAGTGGTCAACATGTTCTATCACTTCACTCCCTATCACTAAGTTAGGGGTTGACGTGGTCCAGTCCTGTA